AGTCTTCAAGCAGCATGGAAGACTGGCTTATCCACACAGAAGCAGCTCTGCTACTCTAAGCAGACACCAGCTCCTCTTCCTGCCCCAAGCACCACGTCCTACCGACCCCAGCATACCTGTCCTGCTTCAGACGCTGACCCCAGCCCAGCAGTACCCCCTGCCGCCCCTGAAGCGGCCTCTGTTCCTGAGTGCGGACCCACACACCCCTCTTTTCTCCCTCAGGTACTCCCTGCTAATGTCCTGCACCCTGCTGCTGTCGTGGACCCAGCTGCTGTCACGAGCCCTCATCCGCTTCTGCTGACGCAGCCCCTGCTCCTGACCCAGGCCCACACACCCCAGCAGGCGCATCTGACGACCCCAGCACACCCATCCTGCCTCAGACGCCGACCCCAGCCCAGCAGTAACCCCTGCCGCCCCTGACGCGGCCTCTGTTCCTGAGTGCGGACCCACACACTCCTCTTTTCTCCCTCAGGTACTCCCTGCTAATGTCCTGCACCCTACTGCTGTCGTGGACCCAGCTGCTGTCACGAGCCCTAATCCGCTTCTGCTGACGCAGCCCCTGCTCCTGACCCAGGCCCACACACCCCAGCAGGTGCATCTGATGACTCTGTACCTGTCATGAGGGAAGCACAACATTCATCGCCTCCACACACCCTTTTTCTCCCTCTCTCCTCCCATAGATAGTGCGTATTGACAGTTGTATCCAGGGACAGGCTCATCCACGCCATCGCCGTTGTCTCACATGAGGCATGCACCGCCCGTTCTGCCTCACATGTGCTAAGCAACTTTGCAGACAATAAGTCTCCTACACCGCCTGAAGGGAAGGGGGAGTATTGTAGTGGACGTCTCCCCTACAACTGCGTAGCCGCATTCCAATGCCACAGTATCCTAGCAACCAGCCACCTGCTACGTCTTCCCTTAGCCCAGCCACCTGCTACATCTTCCTAGCAACCCAGCCACCTGCTACACGACCCTAGCAACCAGCCACCTGCTACATCTTCCTAGCAACCAGCCACTCGTCTTCCCTAGCAACCAGCCACCTGCTCGTCTTCACAACAGCAAAGCACCTGCTTTCGTCTTCTAGCAACCAGCCACCTGCTACATCTTCCCTAGCAACCAAACGAGCGGCCCAGGGGGGGGGGGGCGTCACCAGATGCCACAGTATCCTAGCAACCAGCCACCAGCTGCTACCATATCCTAGCAATGGGTCGAGAAACCGGCGACTTCCCACGGTTTTCTTCTGGCGGCTGTGTATATAAGCTCTGTCTTTCCATTGAGATTCATTCTGCTCTCGGTTTCTGAACACGCAACACCTCCTCCAAGCAAGCTCCTCGCTGTCCCACTCTCATTCAACCTGGAGGCCAGCAACAGGCAACATCTTCTCTAACGAAGCTCCTGCACATCTACCTCCTTCAACACGCTACTCACCGAACGTGTCTACTGAGCAGCTCCTCACCACACGGCATCTCCAGCACCAGACTGTCTTTCATATAATTTATATTATATAAGAAAATCACCACCTAGAGTTTCCATCAATCCCATCCTGAGTGCTAGACAACATAATATCACGAAACCCTACAGTACTGTATATTGTTTCTCACTTTTGATCTTTTTTTGTATTTCTTTATTATTATTATTATTATTATTATTATTATTATTATTATTATTATTATTAATATTATTATTATTATTTAATTTTCATTTTTTTTTATTTTGAATTTAATTCACTATGAGTACCAGTAATAATAATAATAATAATAATAATAATAATAATAATAATAATAATAATAATAATAATTATTATTATTATTATTATTATTATTATTATTACTATTATTATTATTATTATTATTATTATTATTATTATTATTATTTTTATTTTCATTATTTTTATTGTTAATATTATTATATTTTCGCCTGCCCTCCCCCAGGCCCCGATGTGGGTCAGTGACTTGTGCCTGGGTGGGCTAATCCCCGTTAAAAAAAAATGATACCAAAACAAAATTTACGGGCTGAATATATCCCAAATCATTTATATAACTTATAAAACTGTGAGGGCAATTTTTTGGGGGGTGAGAGTTGTAAACTCTTGGAAGAATCTACCAGAAAGTGTAGTGACGGCACCGAGTGTGAGCTCTTTCAAGACCAAACTTGACCAATACTGGAGCGGGTTTAGGTACATTTAGGATCCGGTGCATGCCCAGTACTTGCCAACAGTGCGTAACAGAGATGTGACCAATCGCCCAAGCTGCTAACGAGCCAATCAGTGGTGAAGAGGATAAAAGTAAAAGATATAAATACGCGCAGTTTGGAAGGGGGGAACGCTCAGGGGGAACAGCCACTGGACTTCGCGGCCAGATCAACGACAGTCTGACATAAGTTGGACACTTTTTATTTTTTTTTATTTATTTATTTTTTTTTTAATGGGGATTAACCCACCCGGGCAGAGGTCACTGACCCACATCGGGGCCTGGGGGCAAAAATTTAATAATTATTCATAGTAAATAAAATAATAATGATAATATTAATAATAATAACACTGTAATAATAATAATAAAGAACTATAAAGAAATAAAAAATAAATCAATAGTGAGAAACGTGTAGTGGACGTCTCCCCTACAAACTGCGTATCGCATTCCAATGTGCCGCCTTCCCTAGCAACCAACCAGATGTTACCGTATCTTAGCACCGGAACCAGTCACCGGCGACTTTCTGGGTTTTCCCAACATGACTCATAGCGGCTGCTGCTGGGTATATAAGCTCCGTCTCTCCATTGAGATTCATTCTGACGATTCTTCTTGAACAAGCAACACCTCCTCCTCCGCCGCTGCCTGGCTGCCTTAGCTCCTCCTCGCCTGCCTGGCGGCCCTCGCTCCCGCCAGTGAGCATGGCGACCCACCAGCAGTCCTTCTACTGAGCAGCTCCCCACCACACGGCATCTCCAGCACCAGACTGTCTATCATATAACTTATATATTATACAAGAAAACCACATTAGAGTTTCCTTCCATCCTGAGTGCTAGACAACATTAATATCTCGATACCCCTACAATGGTGGCAGCGCTGGAGGAGGAGGTGTTGCTTGTTCAAGAAGAATGGTCAGAATGAATCTCAATGGAGAGACAGAGCTTATATACCCAGCAGCAGCCGCTATGAGTCATGTTGGGAAAACCCAGAAAGTCGCCGGTGACTGGTTCCGTTGCTAAGATACGGTAATATCTGGTTGGTTGCTAGGGAAGGCGGCACATTGGAATGCGATACGCAGTTTGTAGGGGAGACGTCCACTACAAACGTTATACTGTATGTATGTTGTGTTGTCAAGTAAGAGAAACAATTGAGACCCTGCAATTGTGTATAAATGAGGCAGAAAGACTGATCAGCAACCTGGGACTTGGCCACAATTTTCGTGATGCCATATAGCAGCAAAGTTCACTAGTATCCTGCACCGTTCACTAGTATCCTGCACTGTTTACTAGTATCATGCACCGTTCAATAGTATCATGCACCATTCACTAATATCCTGCACCATTCACTACTACCGTTCACTAGTATCCTGTACCATTTAATATTACCATTCACTAGTATCCTGCATCGCTCACTAGTACCATTCACTATTATCCTGCACCGTTCACTAGTATCATGCACTGTTCACTAGTATAGGGTTGCCATATCTGAACATTAAAAAAAGAGGACGTTCCAGACGACATCCCCCCCCGGCACACACTTTGGCGCTATGTAACCTTGAAGCAGCGTGACAATTAATTTTGCATATTTGCATAACATTAATATATATATATATATATATATATATATATATATATATATATATATATATATATATATATATATATATATATATATATATACCAGTATCGGTGTACTGTATTGCATTGTGTTTTTAATGTACGCTAATATACAACATTCATGGTAAAGAAATCTTAAAAATAATAAAAAAAATTACCTTTGCTTATGGCTGAATATCTTCATTCCCTTAGCTGCAGTCTTCTTCCCCCACTGTGTGTGCGACTTGATGTGCCCATGCACATCAAGATTATGGTTGAAAATTGCTAAAATGCCTTAAATGCAGGTCAAGAAAAACAAATGCTACAGTGTAAAAAAAAGCCATAAGAAAAAAAATGGTATACTTTCAACATTTCATTTATGGCTGTAATAGCACTAAATACAAAAACGAATTTAATAATGCGCGTGGCTGAAGAACAAGGAAAAGCAGTACATGACACTACATGCTAGCCCAAAAATTGCTAGCAGCTAAGTTGACAACACCGTACAGGCGTACACGTGACTTATCAGCTGACGAAAACTGAACGAGATCTGTACGGTTTCCACCTCCCCTCTCTCACAGTCTCTCTCTCTCGTCGTCACAGTTTCATGTTTTTTTTTCCGTGGAGAAAATGATGGAAGCTGAAATTCCGGACTTTTAAAGAATTTTAAAAATTACTTCCGGACGAAGATTTCGAGACCTAAATGGAGGACATGTCCGGGAAAATACGGTACGTATGGCAACCCTACACTAGTACCATTCACTAGTATCATGCACCATTTACCATTATCCTGCTTGTTCACTAGTATCCTGCACCGTTCGCTAGTACCATTCATTAGTATCTTGCACTGTTCACTAGTATCCTGCACCGTCTACTATTATCCTGCTTGCTCACTAGTATCCTGCACCGTTTGCTAGTACCGTTCATTTGGGTCTTGCACTGTTCATCAGCACCGTTCGCTAATACCCTGTACTGTTCACTGGTATCCTGTACCGCTCACTAGTATGTTGCACATATCACACCATTATAATACAAATTATTAATTAATATAAATTATTACTGCATTCCGATGGCGAATCCCAGATTTTGAAAGACTTTTATGTCAAATTTATATCCACTGGTAATTTAAAAATGATCTTAGCTGGCTTGCTTAAACATTAATATAAATATAACTTTCATAAACAGTGTTAAAACTAAAATGAGACTCTACTAGACATACTCCTCCATACCCAACTCCTAGGAACACGAGTTGCGTGCGAATCTTTGTGAATCGCTCTTGGAACTACTGTACACGAATTCAGGGAGAGCGGCACTCGCAGGTATTTGCGCACCTGTTCCGTCTTTTACCACTTGATCAGGTTTGATCTGGTTGACATAGCTGTTCTCCGCGACCCTAGTCACTGTTGGCCAGGACGCTGTCGTGGCTGTTTTACCTATTCCCGGCGACCACAGCATATGTTGGCGTGGATACTGGCGAGGGTAGATAGGAGTTTTTCCAGCGGACGTTTCCTCAAGGCTAGTTTAAGTAGGGTTAAAAATAGAGAGGTCCTTTCAGAATATTTTTGGAACAGAAATCTCTGGCAAGGACTTGAGGCATTTATTGTTTGTGTTCTGGGGTCTAAAACAAAACCAGGTGTGATATTTACTTCACATCATGTTCCTGTGGGGGACCGGTGGTATAAGCGGTACCGTTCTTGCCTCGCAAGCGAGATGTCACGGGTTCGATTCCCGGGCCGGTGGAAGTTGTTTGGACTTACTTCCTGGCCCCCATTAGTCCCTGTTCACCTAGCAGTAAAGTAGGTACCTGTCGAAAGTTGCGAATTCGTATTCAGGGATTTGTTGGAGCTTCCAATAACTTGATGACATAAACCACTGACTCTTCAGGCTTCTACGCCCTTGACTCTTCAGGTTTCTACGCCCTTAACTCATGAGACATAAAGGCAAGCATGAACTTAGCATGCTTCCCTGTTGGTCGCTGTAAACGCTTCTGCGCTTCACCTTGCACAAGGATGTAGGTGGGTGCCCAATAAAAAAAAAATCAAGTTCCTGTGTGTGTGTGTCAGTCAGTCATTTATAATAATATGCCTCTCTATTATGTGTATTATCTGTATGAATGTTTACAGTGTTTCAATATGACCTGGGACGTCCCCTGGTTTTTAAATTCACCCTCCATCTTTATCCTTCATCCTTTCAGTGTCCTCCAGTATGTATATCTGGCTCCCTTCAGTGTCCTCCAGTATGTATATCTGGCTCCCTTCAGTGTCCTCCAGTATGTATATCTGGCTCCCTTCAGTGTCCTTCAATATGTATATCTGGCTCCCTTCAGTGTCCTTCAGTATGTATATCTGGCTCCCTTCAGTGTCCTCCAGTATGTATATGTGCCTCCCTTCAGTGTCCTCCAGTATGTATATGTGCCTTCCTTCAGTGTCCTCCAGTATGTATATGTGCCTTCCTTCAGTGTCCTCCAGTATGTATATGTGCCTTCCTTCAGTGTCCTCCAGTATGTGTATGTGCCTTCCTTCAGTGTCCTCTAGTATGTGTATGTGCCTTCCTTCACTGTCCTGCAGTATGTATATGTGCCTTCCTTCAGTGTCCTCCAGTATGTATATATGCCTTCCTTCAGTGACCTCCAGTATGTGTATGTGCCTTCCTTCAGTGTCCTCCAGTATGTATATGTGCCTTCCTTCAGTGTCCTCCAGTATGTATATGTGCCTTCCTTCAGTGTACTCAGTATGTATGTGCCTTCCTTCAGTGTCCTGCAGTATGTATATGTGCCTTCCTTCAGTGTCCTCCAGTATGTATAATAATGCCTTCCTTCAGTGTCCTCTAGTATGTATATGTGCCTTCCTTCAGTGTCCTTCCAGTGTTATGTATATGTGCCTTCCTTCAGTGTGTCCTCCAGTATGTATGCCTTCCTTCAGTGTCCTCCAGTATGTATATGTGCCTTCCTTCAGTGTCCTCCAAGTATGTATATGTGCCTTCCTTCAGTGTCCTCCAGTATGTATATGTGCCTTCCTTCAGTGTCCTCCAGTATGTATATGTGCCTTCCTTCAGTGTCCTCCAGTATGTATATGTGCCTTCCTTCAGTGTCCTCAGTATGTATATGCCTTCCTTCAGTGTCCTCCAGTATGTGTATGTACCTTCCTTCAGTGTGTATCTATATGTGCCTTCCTTCAGTGTCCTCCAGTATGTATATGTGCCTTCCTTCAGTGTCCTCCAGTATGTATATGTGCCTTCCTTCAGTGTCCTCCAGTATGTATATGTGCCTTCCTTCAGTGTCCTCCATTAAAAACAAGAATCCTCAACAAATCTATCACGAAACATGCAAAAACAAGCTGCACATAATCACCTCATAACAGTTGTGAGTCAGAACAGGTGTCTTGGCGTGCACAAACACATGCTGCGACCTCAACTTGACAACACCAGATATACACCCCGACCCCTCCTAGTATACTGTAGGTGTCTTGTTTCTGTGTTTTCTCAACATCACGCTCTGTGTTATAATCATTCAACTGCACCGCACCTTGCCTGTTGATCCAAAGGTACGTCGAAGGGTAAGCCACTCGACCGGATCCCACAGCCAGTCATGCGAAAAACAATATGACGATACGGCATAGTCAGTAAAATAACACTTGTGCCTGTCATACGTGTTTACAGATGTTTGTATTAACCAGTTCATTGTGGTTTTTGTCGGTCCTTGCCGTCACAACACACCAGCCATCGACCTTAAAGTTCACCAGGATAATCAGATACCGATACTTCATTTACGAATTTAAGTATTCTTATAAATTTAGGTATACGTTAATGGCAGAGCTCCCTGTCCTATACACGCAGTTTTTCCAATAATCAAATATGTATTATAAGCCTCCACTGTTACCCGTGGAGCCATTTAAGTAGAAAGTAGTGGTGGTTTCTAAAATAACAAAAACAAAAAACATGGTGCATATATTAGACTCTATTTGCTATGTGGACAGTAACTATCTTTTGAGGCCTGCTTATGTTGCAAGAAATTTTATTCCTGGAGAAATGTTGTGAAATATTTTTGTCTTTGTACATTCGAAATTGCTTGGAATCTATTCGATATTTTCTACAACGTAATTTACAATCAACAGCCTAACCCAGGGGTGGGCAATTATTTTTGATGGAGGCCCACTTCATGAATGGTGGCACACTTCGCGGGCCACCCACTTAATGTAGATGCAAATGTATTATATTAACACAAAGTAAAGCCTTGTATTTGTAAATACAAATGCAGTGGCGGGCCACAAAAATAATTTGGCGGGCCAAATGTGGCCGGCGGGCCATACTTTGCCCACCCCTGGCCTAACCCCTTCACTACGGGAACACCACGTTTAATATTTTATTTGGCTAATGCCAGACGAATTTATTCATCTCAGAGGGATCCCGTACACAAGAGGCTAAGAAAAACTGGTATTTGATAACAGTGGACGATTAATAAAAGTCATTTAATGAAATTGCTTAAGTACTGCAGTTAACGGCGTTTGCTACGTTGATAACTTCTCTCTTATTAACTGCCCATTTTGTTATCACATAACACATTTTGATTAAGCTGTTGATTGAAAATAAAGGAGTGTAAAATATCGAATACATTCCAAGTAATGCTCGTATGTACAAAGCAGGACTTTTTTTAAATTGAAAGTGAAGGGGGGAGGGGATTGCCCCTCAGCCCACCCACTCACCTACCCGCCCCACCCAGTATGTATATGTGCCTTCCTTGCAGTCGAGGAAATCTTTTTATTACCCCAAATTACCTACCCGCCCTATTACACGTTCGCCGTCTGGGAAGTAATGACTGCAGCAGATCCGGTGAAAGTAAAGAAAAATCTGAAGCTATTTTGGTTTCTTCATTTTGGAAGTTATCACATAGGCAGGTTTGGATGTCTGCCTTGTGTCATCGTAGTAGGCCGTTCGGTGGCGCCTTTCCATTATTACTCATATGGGTGTGCCTGGCCTTTGTCCTTTGTTATCATGTGTTTGGGCATCACACATGTGGGGTAGGTCAACTGGTCGTGATAGGTCTATCGGTAGTGCCTCCCCAAAAGTTACTGATATGTACGTTATTCTGGCTTGGATAGAGTTGGTCTGAAAACTCACAACAGTACTGTACTCGCTCACTCACTCACTCCCTCACTCACTCACGAACACGACTATCTCCCTGCTACGTGCAATAAATGAATCACCACGATAAACATAATCTTGTGCAATGAACTTCTATACACCAGCACCAACCTTGTGCAATCAATTCACTCATTTGAACTCTGCGACCTTCCAACACCTGACAGAAGGTATCAACCAGCTTTCACCCGATGTTACAGAGGTGACTAAACGTTCATTTGTTTCGTATATCTAAAAGTAAGATCTCGCTTCACTGTGTGTCTCCCTGCTCCCCCCACTCTTGTTGTTGTACACGTGAATGTTGCACCATCACCATCACCATTGCCGCCGCCGCAGCCGTCGTCACCACCGCCGCAGCTGCCGTCGCCATCGCCACTGCCACCGCCACCAACACCAACACCCCGAATCAACATCATCAGTAAAAACATAATTGGCAGCAATAACACCAGCAATTACAACAACAATAATAACCGCAACAAAAATTACAACAGCAGCAGCAACAATAACAACAACCACTAAAGTAATAGCAACACTAACAACAACAATTACAACAGCAACACTAATAAAGCAGCAAATATAATATTACAGCAAGAGCAACAACAATAACAGAAATAACACCAACAATTAAAATAACAAAAGTAGCAGCAATAACAAGAACAATTACAAGATTACAACAACAGCAACAATAACAGAAATAACAACAATTAAAATAACAGCAACAGCAATAATAACAACAATTACAACACTACAACAACAGCAACAATAACAGAAATAACATCTGCAATTACAACAACAATAATAACATACAGCAACATCATCAATACCAGCAACAATTACAACAACAACAACAACAACAGCAGTAATAATAACAACAACAACTACAAAATTTCAATAACAGCAACAATAACACCAACAATTATAACAGCAATAAAAACAAAAACAAAAACAGCATCAGCACTAATAACTACACAGCTGACTCAGCAACAGCAATAACAACACATTACAGTGCGTAGTGGAAGTACTGTAGCCTAATAGTAATACAGCAGAAACAACAGTAACAATAACAACACAGCAGACACACCAGTAACAATAAAAACAGCAGACAGCAGCGCAGAAATTTATTACACATATAACACAACAAACACAACATTAACAATAATAACAC